GACCAGCTCTGAATGAAATACAATGAACAATCCCATACTGTTAGAGTAAATGATTTCTAGTACTTTTTTCCTTTTACATTTCTGTGATTCTGAAGAAGTTTTTTTTGCTGATGCTGTTTCTCCTTATTTCTCCTCCAACTTCTCTAAGTGGCTCTTGAAAAGAATGCATCTGTATCTTCATGCCCCTTATAGTCATTGCTATTCATATTTGGTTTGTACTGACTAAAGAAAAATCCCATTTTACAGTAGCCCTACAGGATACATTATTTTCTGGCTCTCATTTTCAAGCTTGATGTTTTAGACTTGATGTAGTGCTCTCTTGTCCAGGAGCATACAGAGATGTATTTGAACTGCCAGCACATGAATGACTAGACTTTGACTTTCATCCTAATGTCTAGGATTTTGTATTATGGAATTTTAGTGGAAAAGCACCTCTTGATTAGTTTGCTTGAGATGGAAGATCATAGAGCAACTTGGGGCTTTACCAGCAAGATAAAAATTTCTCCCAAAATTTTTATGTCACAAAATATTTTAGAAACATTTAAAATTATTTCCTATTGAAAATCATAAATATCCAATACAGCTGCTCTTGAAAAATCTAATTATCACTGTTGGGCAATGAAAGAAGAAAATGTCAGGTAAGCCTTCTTGAACAGTAAAGGAAGAATAGTGCAAAAGATGCTATAGAAATTAAAGCTGGAAAAGACATAGGAGAGTTTGTTCTTCCATCACATCCAGTTTTACTTCCTGCAGTCCTCAGCAAGAACTTTCCCTAGTCCAGTTTTATACCACTCAAATAAACAATCCCATTGGGATACTCTTTCCAGACTTGTCAATCTTACTAGTGGAACATTTTCCTTACTGTTCAGTCTAAATGTTATTTTCTTAATTTTATCCCATTGTTCACATTTGACCCCTTTTGCCCTCCAGACAGTTAATCTCCTTCATTAAGATAGTCTTATCCTTGTTTCAGAGGAACAGCCGTGTTAGTCTGTATTCGCAAAAAGAAAAGGAGTACTTGTGGCACCTTAGAGACTAACCAATTTATTTGAGCATGAGCTTTCGTGAGCTACAGCTCACTTGTAAGTGGTTTTATATCTTACTGCTCCCCCATTAATTCCATCATAACATTGGTTGTGTTTAGAAATATTAGAATCAGGATCCTGTTCCTTCTCTCCCATAATATTTCTGTCATTGTATTGGATGACCAGAAGGGAGAAGATTTATCCTATGACTTACTAGCCTTCACTGCTAGAGTTTGAAGTTTATAAATAGCTCTTTTTACCCCACTCCCCATACTAATTAAAAACATGCAGTTGCTTTAAGAACAGGTAAGTCAAAAAGATTACAACATTACACCTTGTTGATTCTAATGAGGAGTGTTGATTGAAGAAGCTCATTGTACTTTTATCTTCAAGGATTTGGAGACAATAGTGTCTTGTAATTACATATCCTGACCATTAGGTGTGGAAGTGAATTTACAAGTTACAGCACAGAGTGCTAAGAACCAAATTCTAAATATTTAATTCTTTGTTAACTATAGCAGAAAAATAAAGGAGAAAGAAAACAGAAATTGGGAAAGATTAATGAATCTCCTTCTCAGTGCTTCCTTTATAGCTTTGTGACTACTCAGGTCCTCAGATGGTGGTGTGCATTTTGACAGATTTCTGTTAAGCTTGCATAGCATTATACAAAGTCGTTGCCATCTGTACTTTATTCCATATGCTACGACACGATGTGCGCATTTAATTGTAAGCACTGACCACAATCGCAGTTTTGCTTTTGCTCTTATTACAATGGATTGTTGGCACATTTGTGTAAATCGTGGAATTCCTCAGAAACAGGCGCTCCCATCACACTAGTAACTACAGTGTGATGCCAGTAAGCAATATCTCACTGAACATTTACATTACTCTATACTTCAATGGCTCTGTTTGAATCAATGCCTTACTGTTTTTAATATTTAGTGAGAGTTGCATGTTGATTTTTTTAAATTGTGTATATGTACTTGTGTGGCAGGGTGGAAGGTGTAAACTACTACAAAGTTTACTCTAAAGAAGGGGGGTGCGATCAAATAAGTTTGTGAACCACTGCTCTAGAGTACTGCATATTGACAATTACTGCCCAACAATATGGAATAAAGAGGTTGTAATTGCTGTCTTAACCTCCCAGCTGAGAAGTCTCCTGGTATAGGGGAGTCCCCACATGGCACAAGACTAGTGTATGCCATTTCTCTCCCAGCATCCAGAATAGGAAGTGTAGGCAGAACTGTGTTCCAGGGAGCCTTAGCTGGTGGAAAGTCCATTCACACACCGTTATAAACTGCTGCAAATTATAGCAGCGTCAAGTCACTCTAAGTTGGTTGACGGCTGAGCCAGCCCGATGTCTGGTGGGGCATAAGGGTGGCCTTTATGAACTTAGCCAGTCCCTTGGATCAAACTCGTATCTTACCATGGAAACAATCTCAGATTCAGATATATAGCTGGTTCCATTGCATTCATTAATGGAGGTTACAGCTGGAAATGAGGGAAGTTGTGTTTTATTCTGTTTCCCTTAATTTGATTGGATTGGATAATCTGTCCAAGGAAAAATTATGACCATTAGAAAATAACAGCAGTTTGTCTGCCGTGCATTTTGGACCAGAGTACAATAAACGTTAATATATATATGTACAGAGTCAATAATCCTTCATGATACCTGGCAGTGAAAGGAGACACCAGGCTCCAAAGAGGATTGTAAACATTACTGTCAAGCAAGGTCACAAAACAGAAGAATTTGTGCCATCCATGCAGTTTGTGAGCTCCAGTGGAAGGGCCGCACAAACATACTTCAGGATTTCATTTGTTTTTGCAGAACTGTCTTGGCAAATGCTCCATGGTCAGGAGCTGGGTAGCATACTGCAATCATTTGTGACTATGGTAAACCTTGGTGAAAACTGCCAGGCATTGTCCAAACAGGAGAAAATGGGTATCATCCATGCGATACTGAAGTGTATGTGTATAAAGTAACACAACTCCAAAACTGGGCAGTAATCAAATAACCACAACCTGCCATTATCCATAGGCACCAAAAATACTGGCATATTCCATGATAAGCCACACCGTTAGGTCATACCTTTCCCAAGACTCATCCATATTCTACATACAGGAAGCTGCTGCTGAAAAACAATGACAGGTTTCAGAGGAACAGCCGTGTTAGTCTGTATTCGCAAAAAGAAAAGGAGTACTTGTGGCACCTTAGAGACTAACCAATTTATTTGAGCATGAGCTTTCGTGAGCTACAGCTCACTTCATCTGAAGTGAGCTGTAGCTCACGAAAGCTCATGCTCAAATAAATTGGTTAGTCTCTAAGGTGCCACAAGTATTCCTTTTCTTTTTTCTGAAAAACAATGTCATTTTATCTCTAGCCTCCAGGAGAATCTGGTATCAGGAGTTAGGCTTTGTGATTATGAAATGTGCCTAACAGTTAATTTGCAGCTTTTGAGTCAGCTGTGGCAATTTTCCATATTTTATTATTATGCTCATTAATTAGTGGCATCTGTAAATAAGATAGAATACAGTTTTAGTTTGGACACTATCACTATATGTAACCATCTGTCTGCCTGTCTGTCTTAAGATATTTCTAAGGAGCCTGTCATTAAGATATCAAACTAATCACTGCTTAAATAATTGTGTTAGTACTGAAAGTGGTTCTAGATGAATGTAGCAGCTATTGTGTGCTTAGCACTAATTAATGCAGAGCATCAGCCATTAGAAAGGGGAGTGTTGGCTAGGACACCTGTTTGTTACTACTTCTCTTCCAAAAGTACCCTAGGATCTATAATCTGTACAGCACCTCCTAGGGACAAGCCAGAAGCATTTGAATTGAACAACTCATCTAAAGAACAGATAAGGGCTTTGTGGGGCTGAGCTGTAGATATTAATGAGATGAGTGACAGGCCACATACCAAACTGAACCCCAGCCTTTTGAAGGATCTCTTCTGATACATAGACTCCTACCAAGTCCAAAGCTTGATCTGGCCCGATGTGCCCATATCCCACCATGTCTTTCGTGGGGATCTCAGTACGACTGGAATTTTTGACTTGCCTCCAACTGTCTGCAGATATCCTGATTTTGAGTGATCACATGGTAAATGCATTCTGTCTCTAAGGTGCCAGAAGTACTCCTTTTCTAGAAGCCCCTAAGTGATTTCAAAACTGCAGCTGGTCCAGCAGATGTAGTCTGATCCCACTGTACATTCAAGAGGTTATTGGCCTAGGTACATATCGGGGTAGAATGGACCTTGGTTTGTGTCCCAGGCAAAGAGGTGAAAGGGGAGAGAACTCAGCCAGTTGTACTGAGCGGGAGGAGAAGGGTCTGATGTGCGTAGAAGGAATCAGGTGGTGAAATGGATTTGTAGAAGACTGAAAGTTTGCCTTTGGATGGATGATGCAGGAAAAGAGGTAGATTAGCATTACTACATTTTGAGGTTTGCTCCAGGCAGATTTCACCCCTCATTGCTGAGTGGATAGTATTCTGAAGGCTTGCAATGAGTTAATGAAATGGCTTCCCCTGTTTTTGGGTTGTCAGCATGGTTTAAATACAGGTCCGGCAGCACTTTCAGTGAAAGAGGAACTCTTCTTTAGTAGCAGTAGAAGGCTGCTTCCTCTAGTGGACCAGACAACAGAGGGGAACGTGGCACCCATGCTGCCAGTGTGCTACATTTACCGTAACCTTGCTTGCATCCCCTTCAATAAGACAAAGTATGTCACTCTGCTGTACCTTCTTTGAAATGGATGCTGCATTAAATCCACACCTACCGGATGGGCGCAGAGTAGACATCATTGCCGATCCTAGGGCTTTTCCTGCTTTAATTAACTATTTAAATTGTTTCAGAAGTGGGGGCAAACTGTCTTGTGGGAAGAAACTTGATGCTGGAAGGCTGAGGTATCTCCTGGCATTGTGGGTCCAGGAGCTTTTTGTAGCGTGTGCAACACTGAAACTGATTTTTATTTGTTCAGGGTTTTTCTACTAGGAGACCGAGACACAGTGAAGCATCAACCAGTGGAATCCGAGAGCTGACAGCAGGCCTGAGCCAAGGTGAGGTAAGGAGATGACAGAGGTAGATCAAACCTACAACTAAAAACCAGCGGTATTTCAATGCAGCCTGTCGATGTGTTTGCCTCAATCACTGTTGGGTATGCTCTACAGAGAGGAATTCTGAATTCTATTAACAATGGCTCAATGTCCCACTGTACATCTTGTTATTAGATATCGCTCTGCCTTTTATATTCATCTTTTTCTAGTGATGCCAATAAAAATTGAAGGTGATTTAAACAGTCTCAATTTAATTCTGAAAATATTCAAAGATCGCTTTAAAAAAATGAAACCCGTAAGAATTGTTAGAATAAGATGGGGAATAGCCTCCATATTCTAAACATCTAGGCTTATTGTTTTTAATTTAATCCACCATAATGTTTACATTTCTTGCTAGCCACACATGTTCATGTAGGACCTTCTGTGCTGCTGTGAAGGGTACACAAGATAGGTGAGACCTTATTCTCCGAGTGTTGTGTATGTCACTGGTGATGCTGATAAACAAGAAATGAAACAAGCTATATTGACATGCAATCCATGATTCTAACTATGGTGTTGCCATACTAAGAAGACTTCATAACTGGTGAATAATCTCCTGAGCCCTCTTAATTCTACAAAACAGCAGAAAGCACAACTACCGGTTCATCTAGGAAGTTGTCTCTTGATTAGGAAAATGGGTTGTGGAGGAGGGCAGCAAAGCTGATCTTCTCGATCATCAACTTTCATCCAATAAGAAAAGGAGTACTTGTGGCACCTTAGAGATTAACAAAGTTATTTGAGCATAAGCTTTCGTGAGTTACAGCTCACTTCAGCTTATGCTCAGATAAATTTGTTAGTCTCTAAGGTGCCACAAGTACTCTTTTTCTTTTTGCAAATACAGACTAACACAGCTGCTACTCTGAAACCTTTCATCTGATAAAGCATTTTCCTGTGAGTTTAATTCAAGAAAGTGAAGGAAGCATTTTAAAGGTACATTCTTGCATCAGGTTTGATGTGATAAGACTATTATGTCTGGCAGTTTTTCCATATTGTGATCATTTATAAAGAACCATAAAGGGTAGGTTTGTACAGATTTACTTGGAAGCATGCTAGACAGGTAACACTTCATCTAATTTCCCCCATGCCCCAACCCTATGACATAGTCAACTTTTCCTGTCTGTCAGAGTCTCTCTTAATGTAGCGTCTTTTCACCATTTTCTCATTAATTTTCTCCTTGTACAATTGTGACTTGGCTGCTAGCTGGAAAATTAACTTTCCTGGGTGTTGCTAACACACACTGGCTGGGTTTCCTAACTTAGTTTCTGACTGATCATGTAGATACTTGTATCTTCCTAAACATTATCTCTCTCTTAATTTTCTGACATTTTTTTCTGGCTTTGCTAATTCCCCTTTTGTAATCACCAGCAGTGCTGGAATTGAATGCTCTTATGACAGATCCAATCATTGTGGGAGCATGTCAAATCAAATAAAAGTGCATCTACAAGAACCAATTTAGGAGTAGCAGCTTTAGAGAGTAAATCAATTTGTATCATTTCCTTATTTTTCACATATTACATGCAAATGTCTACATTACGGAAACAGCATGGTTGAGATTTTAAAAGCATGTAAGTGAGACAATCCAGAGAACTGGTTCCTGCAGCAATCATAATTCAGCCATTTTGTGCTTATGTAATATTTTTCTCACTGCATATGGTATTAACTTTAATGGCCCCTCCCTCTCTGGCAGCATGAAATCCATAGTTTCCTGGCTTTTGTATACAAAAAATTATATGTTGTTTTTTAAAAAGTGAGCCTTAAGTGGGGAAAGATGCAATTGCGTATTATATGTCTGTATGTGCATAGTTAGAAACACTCAGTGTTGAATGAGACTTCTTATTATAAATGCCATTTCTATTTCAAATGTTGCAGTATCTGGCATTGTGTGCTCCAGAGGTCTCAGCACACTACAGAGTGCACAAAATTGGAAGTCAGAGGCATTAAGGCACTGCAGAAAGACTGATAAATCTGCTAGTCTCTTTCTGTGCCATCTTAAAAATAGGACAGGTCTTCCACCCTCATGACAAGTCCACACATGGGAATATCACTGGTTAGATACTACTGTGGTGGGAGCGATAGGAAAATACTGAGAGAGAGCATGTCAGGCCTAGAATTATGCTGTTTTTAAAATGAGTAATTAATATACATATACCTATGCAGCAGTTTCTTCACTGATTGTTGGAACCTGAACCAAGCCCATTCACTTTCACAGTAATCAACAAAATACATGATTAGGATAATTTTTAAAAAATTACAGCAGTTTATTCTTTTTTGCTTTCCTATAATTAAGAATTTTTCAGGGGTGAATAACATAGGTTCTTAGCATTTGGGGTATATTTAAATGTCAGATTTCAAGAGGACACAGAAGGAAATCCAGAGGTGAAAAATGCTATCTGAATAATTGATTTGTTTTTGCAAAACTTTGGAAGCTATGGCAGGAGTTACAGTTAGCTCAGACTTTCAATCACAAGTCTGACTTGCCCTATTTCCATGTGTTTAAATCAGAGGTGAAACAGACGCAGAAATGGCAGAATACAGAATATGCAGATATTCTCTAACATAATGTGTTACTTTTATGGTTATGAAAAACAGAGTAATGTTTAGCTATTATAATATAGAGTAGGATTTGCCATTCAAAACAATAGCATTCTGAAGATACAGTTCTTAAAAAGGGTAAAGTTGAGCTGGTAATGTGGCTCAGAGATTTAGATAGCAGCGAGTTTTAAGATCTTAATGAAAGAGTTGCTTTGAGAAGTCAGTTTTGCTTGGCTGAGCCTGTGTTCATTGGTGGATCAGTTGCTTTATTGACAGAATTTGGTTTTCTTTGCTGAAGCTGACAGACATGTTGCTAACAGCAGATGTTGCTATGGGCACCATCAAACAAAAGTCGATATCTGGCAGTCAGGAGTGAGTATCAAAGGAGGAATATGAGAAAAAGTTAGACAAATTAAAAAAACAAATTGAGAAGGACTCTGACTCACTTGTAGGCTGTGGACTTTATAACACAAGAAAAATACATAATAATAAGACTTTGTACTTAACATAGCATCTTTTTGCCAAAGATCTCAAAGTCTATTACTAGACTTGGTCCGTATAATTAGCACTAATTTACAGATGAGGAAGCAGAGTCACAGAGAAGTCAAGTGATTTGTCCAAGGTGTTAGAAAGCTTGTCTTTCTCACCAACAGAAGTTGGTCCAATACAAGATATTTCCTCACCCATTTCCTTGTCTCTCCAGTATCCTGGAGCCAACATGGATACAACAACACTGTATTATCCAAGATACGACTGTCTGTCGTATCCGATGATGACGTCACCACATCACTTGTATTCCCATGTGGCTGTATAGTCCGATCTGTGAGGAGCAAGTTCATGAACAGATGTCGTACACAAGCGTGCAGGCTCTGACTGGAATCCCAGTGCTCACCTATGCCTGTCACTTCACCACTCATCCATTGCCACAGGACTTTCTTTCTATGATACATGAATGCCTGTGTGCTGTTTTTTAAATGACAAGACCATTGAATGGAGGCAATATCACTCTATCAGCTGCGGAAGTAAAACACCAGTAGCAGGAAGGGTCATGATGATTGGGACCTGGATTAGCTGCAGTGGATAATCATTGATGCCTTTGTGGTTTGTCAAGTCTTATGTATTCCATGCAGTATTTCCCCTTACCATGGGTGTTCCTCCATGGCTACCCTCATTCTGGTTTAGCCTGCCAATTGAAGCCGGTGTCGTGGTTTATGTGTGCACTGCCGCATATGGGCAGCTACTTGGAGCCACAGATGAGTGCTGGGTGTGAAGTGAGGACCAGTGAAAGAGAACCACTCAAGAGTATGATTGCTCTGACTTTCAGAGGTATTACCTCTCCTTCTACATCCTATTCGCCCCACTTGTCCGAGGTAATGCCTGTGCAAAAGCCAAACACAAGGGCTATGCACCACTTACCTAGCTCATGCTTAGTGAGTTATGATTCAGTCCTGCAAAGTGCTGTGCACCTTCATCTCATACTGGGCCTTAGTTTCAGGAATAGCACCCTGGTCTTCTGGCCCCACACCTGTAGATTTCTCTACCTTCCACACCACCTGATTTTAGAATTGCTCCTCAGCCTTGGCCTTTTCTGGGTCTTCAAGACTGTTACTCCAACAAGCTCATTCACACCCACATTGGGTATCAAATAATATATTTTCCTGCTACAGTTCTGGCCCCTCACTTAAATAAAACCTCATCTTGTCAGGGGACCTCAGAGAAGCCATGTACTGTAGTTTATGAATATCAAAATTTTGATTGAACCATCAAAGTCAAATAGAGTATCTTCTCTTCCTGACTTTGGACACCTCCGTTTCTTTTGCATGCATAATATAAAGCAGCCAACCTGGGACTGGAGTCCTGCTGACATTGTAGCTTTAGAAATGGTTAGTAAAAACCTACAAGTTTGATGCTTTCTGCTTTGATAGTATTTTTGAAGTCTTTGAAGAAGTGTAGCACACACTCAGGTGTCTCATTCCAGTGTAGGACTCTGAGAGCTCCAATTCAAAACCTCCCCACTTTCCCCTTATTAGCCTGGTCATTAAATCATTTATTTATTTTTAAAGTCACTGAAGCAATTTTGCATTGTCTGTCTGCGAAATAGACCAGCTAAGCCTGCTGGTGGAATTAGCTCTGTCCTTCAGTCCCTGCTGAGAATAGAAAGTCCTGGGCAAGAATCATCATTCTCTCTCTTATGTCTTTGGGAATTCTTTTGAATTCAGGAAGATGAAAGAATTTGCGGTGCTAGCTAACAAAAGCCAGCCACGTAAAGAATAAACAGCCCTTAGTGTGAGCTTCATAGACTCTAGTGTCTGAGATTTCAGCACTATAGCAAAATGTTTCCCCCCTCAAGTGTGAAAGGTAAAGTAGCTAATTGTAATTCATGCTATATCCTAAGAAGGAAAAGACTGCCATCTGTCCCAAATACTGCTGTATTAGA